AGGGCACCTGTTGGGATGAGCACTGGGTGTTGTATGGAAACCAATTTGACAATAATTTTCATATATTGAAAAAAAAATAAACGCTTAAGGCAGACTAAAAAAAAAAAAAAAAAAGCCGCCATTCAGAGGTTTGCTTGTTTCCACTCATTTGATTCTGTGTTAAAATGGCAACACCCGGGATGCCTGTGTGGTTCAGTCGGTTAAGCATCCGACTTCGGCTCATCCCTGCTTGTGCTCTCTCTCTGTCTTTCAAAAATGAATAAACATAAAATAATTTTTTTTAAATAATAATAAAATATATTTACCACCTGGCCTGTCCCAGAAAGTTTGCCAGTTCCTGGTTTAGTTGAAAGACATGTGAGTTGTCACCCATTTGTTCCGGATGACAGTTTATTCATGAAAGAAGCAGTTAATATTAACCACCTGCGATCTTTATTTAACTTATTTCTGCCTTCATACCGAACTGCGTTCTCACCAGAGGCCTTGGGTGGGCGCGTTGAGCTATGCAATCCAAAGTAAAAGGTTCTTGTGGACCAACCAGCCTTCCCAGTTTTCACATTCCTCCTTTTGTAGGAACCAGAAGTTAGATCTGCAAGTCATTATTTTTCTACTTGTACTGTTTTTTTCCGTCACAGATGAAATGTTGAAGGCATTCCCCTCCCCTCATTCATTCTCTCATTCAGACACAAATAAGGGGAAAAAAATCTTTTTTTTTTTTTTTTTTTTTTTTTTTTGCTTTCCAGTTCTGCAAACCTCAACACTGGGAATGTATCCAAGTTATTTTAATCCATATAGGAATACATATCCAATTACGCTTCGATTCCTTAAACTGAAAACAAACTTATTATACCAAAAGGAAATCATCGGAAAAGAAACTCAATCTGCTCGAACAAGTGTACGCCCCACGTGCATTCAACGTGATTAACTCTACAAGTATTTGTAAAACACATCGCGATGAATTTGGGGACTAAACAAATAAGTGATCCATAATCCCTACCCTCCAGAACTCGGGAAGAGACAGCTTTATTATTAATATTATTATTATTATTAAATAAATAATCAAGGTAAAGGGAGACACAGGAAAGAACAGGTACAAAACAGAGAGGAAGGAGAGGTAACAGAAGCGAATAATAAGTCTGAGAGAGCTCAGGAGAGCGTCACAGAGAAAACACCAGAGCGGGGTTTTAAATTTTGTTTTTTAATGTTTATTTTTATTTTTGAGAGAGAGAGAGAGAGGAGGAGGAGGGGCAGAGAGAGAGAGGGAGACGCAGAATCCGAAACAGGCTCCAGGCTCCGAGCTGTCAGCACAGAGCCCGATGTGGGGCTCGAACCCACCAACTGTGAGATCACGACCTGAGCCGAAATCGGATGCTTAACCAACTGAGCCCCCCAGGTGCTCCCGGAGTGGGGTGTTAAAAGAGGAGCAGAAGGTGAGTGTCCAGAAGCAGGGCTGAAAGCCTGGAGATGTGGAAAGCATGGAACATTTGGAAGCTTGGCGGGGTGAGGGCCAAGAAATGAGAGCCGGTGCCCTCTTCCAAATGCCCTCATGGACACTTAGCCTTCTTCTCTGGTGGAGAAAACCGCAACCTGATTTTTAAGTAGAATCCTGTGTTTGGGGGCGCCGGGATGGCTCAGTCGGTTAAGTGTCCAGCTCTTGATTTCGGCTCAGGTCGTGGGATCAAGCCCCACATGGGGCTCTGCACTGAGAGTGGAACCTGCTTGAGATTCTCTCTCTCCCTCTTTCTCCCTACTCCTCCCCTGCTCACACACACTCTCTTTCTCATAACTAACTAACTAAATAAAGCAAAAAATTTTTTTTAAATCCTGCATGTGGACAAAATGAAATCGTCAAGTACAGAAAGGCTTCTCTCCACCCCAGCTCATCGACTCCTCCCAGTGCCCACGTCATTCTGCCACTTGGAGCGTGGCCCTCACGGTCCCATGCCGGCGCTGTGTTCTAGACGGGCGCGGGGAGGATGGGCACACAGCTGTAGAGTCGGCCCCGGAAGGATCCTGGGAAGCACACGCTCCGAACAGAGTCCTGAAGAAGGAAACGTGACTCACCCAAGGTCCCGCGGTAAGGATTTCAGATGTATCATTTATTGAGGGCTCCGGTGCCCCCACATCCTGCAAGGTTCTGATGGTTTGACCCTTGGCAGCATTATGGGGTAGATCCTGTAGTCCTCCCACTTGACAGGCAGGGCACTGAGGCTCAGAGAGCCCAAGACGCTTACCCACAGTCGCACAGCTCATCAATCAGGGCCAGAGGGTCTGGCAGTCTCCGTGCAAAACCCCTGCTCCCCTAACACCCGTCCTAATGCTAAGGCCAGGTGTCGTGGTCCCTGGCTGTGCCCTCCACCACCAGCGGGCCACCCCAACTAGCAGACCAGTAGACAGTAGCACAGCTTTGGTGACACGTATAAAGCACGTGCCCTTGTCCTCTGAGGCGCCTCTCTCCGCGACCCAGGCTGGGTCGGCATCTTCCAGCCCCTGGAAAGACCCCAGCCCATCTTCGGTGCGCACGACCCGGCACCCTCGTGCCCACCTCGAGCGGCCAAGTGCAGAAGAGAGTTACGTGCCCGTGCCATGGTCACCGGGCCATCAGACTCTGCCCGATTGGAACAGGGCCAGCTACACCACCGTGGTGGTAGTACCCAAACCCAAACTCAGCGAGCCGCTCACGTGCCTCTGGCTACAGGCTGCAGAACTCTGGGGGGGGGGGGGGGGGGGGGCCGGGGGGGGGAGGGGGCGAGGTGGGGTGAGGAGGGGCAGAGAGGCTCTCCCTGCCTGACGGTCGCAGTGTTTTTCAGCCTCAGGAGCAAATCGCCGAGTCAGTACTTTGGTCCTGGCCGAGCTCAGGAGAGCCTTTCCCAGAAGCCTTAGCCTTCTGGGTTTTGTTGGGGCACCACATGGGGATGTTTTGCTGCCCCCCCAGACCCATCTCTGGTGGGTTTTTTTTGTTTTTGTCTTGTTGTAAGATTTTATTTGTTTCAGTAATCTCTGCACCCAACATGGGGCCCGAACCCGCAACTCCAAGATCAAGAGTCACCTGCTGCACTGACGGGAGACCCCCCCTGCCCCCCGCCCCACCAGCTCTGTTGATAGAAGTGGCCTTGGTGTCCAGGGATTGGCAGTTCCCGAGGCCAAGAGCTCTGCCGGGAGCAGGGGACGAGGGCGGCAGGCCAGGCCAGGGAGAGAGTCCTGCTTTGGCTGCTCCTCTCTTGGTGCTGGCTGCCTGGGCGGGCGGCCAGAGCTCCACCTGTATCCCACACCCCCACCCCAGACCCTTGTCCAGACCTGGAGCCCAAGAGGAAAGAAGAGAGATGCCAGGCAGTTAACAAGGAGATGGAGAAAGTGTCTCAGGGGGCGCCTGGGTGGCTCAGTCGGTTGAGCGTCCGACCTCGGCTCAGGTCATGACCTCGCAGCGCGTGAGTTCGAGCCCCGCGTCGGGCTCTGTGCTGATGCCTCGGAGCCCGGGGCCGGCTTCGGATTCTGTGTCTCCCTCTCTCTCCGCCCCTCCCCTGCTCACGCTCCGTCTCTCTTTCCTTCAAAAATAAATGAACATTAAAAAAAATAAAAAGAAAGTGTCTCAGGTTGGAGACTAAGGAGATGTGGTAACAACACACAGGGAGGGGTCCCGCATCGCAACAATGACAGCAGGGAAGATTCAGGAAATTGGAATCAAGCCCGCAGGAACGTTAATAGTGTGGTACCACGGTCAGCGTCTTGGTTGTGTAATCATACTATGGCCATGCCACGTGGTAACAGTGGGGGAAGCTGGGTGCCCTCCGGAAACACCCTGTACTATTGCGACAACTCTTCCGTAGGTCTAAAATGATTTCCAAATAAAATGCTCAAAGCTTGTGTATTTTTCTGCATGAGAATTAAAGGAGGCACTACTGCCTTTCCTAACGGGGGACATCAGCAAACAATTTTGTCAGGCTGCCTTATTTCTTTGCCCTTCCCACCGTGACACACACCGCGGCCACGGGGCAAAGGTCCAAGGAGGCGGTGGGGAAACAGAAGAGAGAGCGGCCGGCCTCTTCTTCATGCTTCGACATTTTCCTAAATTCTCTATTATTCCTTTATTGTTGATTGTTAATTCTTCATTGTTGCTCAGGCCAAAAAACTTGGGGTCATCCGTGGCTCCTCCCACTCACCTCCCACCTTCACACATTGCCCTCCATTGCCCTCTCCCGTTCCTCGACAGCCTCCCTGGTCTCCTTGCCCGTCCCCGGTCATGCCAGACACACGCCCACCCCAGGGCCTTTGCACTGACCGCATCTGTGTCACTCTGTCAGAAAGGGGCACAGCTCACGTCCATCCACATGGATGAATCCTGCTGAGTCCCGTTTCATCATCGCAGGGAGGCCTATTTTAAGTCAACCCCCACCCTATACTTCAGACCCTCTATATTCTGCTCTATTTTCTTTCCTTAGCTCTTTCTCCTTCTAACATACAATTTAATATACTTACTGATTGTGTTTATTGTTTGCTTTCTGTTTCCCTTCTGCTAGAATATAAACTCCCAGGGGCAGGGATTTTTTTTTCTGTATTGTTCCCTGCTATGCTCCCAGCACCTAGAATGGTACCTGGCCCTCTGTAACTATTTGTTGAGTCGATGATTAGTGTGAGAGAAGGGCGGATGACAGCCACTTTTTCCTCTCCGGGGACCAGCGTGGGCAAACTGTTCACAGAATTGTTCTTTTGTAGGTTTTTCCGACCAGGGCCAAAACCGAAATAGGGTCTGTTTGCTCCCCACCATCTATGTAGTCTCAGACAGATTATTATTATTTTTTTTTCAGTGTTTATTTTTGAGAGAGAGAGTGCAAGCGGGGGAGGGACAGAGAGAGAGGGAGACACAGAATCCGAAGCAGGCTCCAGGCTCCAAGCTGTCGGCACAGAGCCCGTCGCGGGGCTCGAACCCACAGGCTGGGAGATCATGACCTGAGCCAAAGTCGGACGCTTAGCCGACTGAGCCACCCAGGTGCCCCCAATGGATTATTTAATCTCACTGTGCCTCGGTTTCCTCATCCGTCAAATGGGCATTCATAATTCTTGCATCTAAAAACAAACAAAAAATACTTCCTGCATCATCGTGTTGTCCTGAGAAGTGAATACAGTTAAATGTGGTTGCGCATGTCAAGCCATCAGAACGTAAGTGTTTAGCGGGTAAGAAGCACTTGAAGAATGTGAGCGAAAAATGCATTTGAAAAGGTAACTGTTTAAAATTCAAAATACACTTCCCCCCTCAGGGATTTAGTTACTCCCTAGAGTTCCCAAGAAAGTTTGGTAACAGAACTGAGAACGTATCATCAGCCCAAGGCTGGTACCGGTTCAGTGAACATTTACTGAGGACCCACCACGTGCCCGCCACTGTCCCGGTGACAGCAAGGACTGGCTTCCTAAGCGCCGGCCACCTTTATTTACCTTCTGGCTCTGGACTCATCAAGAGGAGTAGAAATCAGTTGTCAGAGCTCAAAGGACACTTAAATGCCATCTTCCTGGGTGGGCAAGCTGAGGCCTGGAGAGGGTGTAAATAACGTGCCCAGGGTCACGCGGCTGCTTCCGTCCAAAATCGTGCTCCTTTTGATGTTCAACATGACCGTATCCGTAAGTAGGAGATGGAATAAAAATGTCTCCTTTGCAATAAAAATGTCCCAATGTCTTCTATACAATGAACAACTGTGTCACTGCTCTCAGGCGAACGTCAGTCCTGAGCTCCCTTCTCCAGCGTCTCCTTTAGGTCAAGTTTTATTATCAGCTCCTAGGCGGCCGGGAGAGGCCTTCTTCTGTTTTGCTTCCAGCCTGGAAGGAAAAGAACCGGTTACTGACGTCGCGCCCAGCGCGCCCCCTGCCGACCATTAGTGGGATCCATCTTCCAGAATTTCGATCCGGGCTCAGGCTGAACCCGGGTCTTGCAGAGCCTCTAGATGGGCAGGGCTGAGGGCCAGCCGTCTGCCCTTGAGGGTGTGAGAGTGGCCATGGGACTTGACCTGTAGCCTCTGCAACGCGCGCTTTTTGATTTGGGTCCTATGTTCATTTGAGGAGGGCTTAGGCGACATGCCCCATCGCCCCCCTCCCCCAGCACTCCACACCATCACCGACTCGTTCCTTCAATGTCACTTAGCTAAATGTAGTATTTATCATGCCCTGCCGTGTGCAGGCATCGTGCTCAGAGCCGGAGGAAATGTGGAGATTAACAAGATCTTTCTGTCTATTTACCAAGACGAAAGTACCGCGTGCTGTTGGGTTCAACCTGTGGAGCCCCTAACATGTGGGGAGGAGCGTGCCCTGCATTGTGTAAAGGCAGTAACGGTCAGCAGCCTTGACCGTGAGACAGGTGCACAACACGGCTCACGGTGCGTCCTCCATAAATGTCAGGGGTCATCATCTTTACCACCGGCCAGGATAGACGGACTCACTGAAGGTCCCCGAGTGGGAGATAAAGGGTGGGATAAAGGTGTCTGTATCTGCTTCGGCTCAAATGCTTCTTCTCTCTTAGCGCACCTATGGCGCTGGAAAAAAAGAACTTGGGCTTGAATGGCTTCTCTCTCTTCCTGGAAAGGCTGGTGAGAGCGGAGTGGGGTCTATTTCCCACACCTCCTCCTGTGGCTGAGGAAGTTCCAGGGGCTGACGGCGAGGTGGTGGGTCCAGTATCCAGGAGGGAGGGGTATACGGGCCACCCATTCCAGTCACTGAGGCTGACGGGGTCTTCTCGGCAGGACGTCTTGGGTCTTCAAATCTGCTAATGTGGCCTCTGGGAAGGAGATGAAGAGGTGACATTTCCCTGAACCCTCTGTCAAGGAGTACCTCTGAGGGATAAGTTTTCGGAGTTGGAGATAGACTCCCCGTGGCCTTGTGGGGACCCTGTACGGCCAACCAAGATGGCAGCTGTCCTTGGTGCTTCTGAAAATCAGCCCCGGCCATGCGGAGCCGCCTGGAGAGCCAAGCTGGACGGAGCCCACTGCCGGGGAAGAGAAGGCCAGGTGGTTTCCTAGCGATGATGCCTGAGCTGTGCGCTCCAGACGGGGTAGGAGAGTGTGTGTGTGTGTGTGTGTGCGTATTTTTAAGGGAATATTGCTAAATAACAGATCTATGTGTTTTATTGTCAGGCCCTAAATGAATCGCCAGTCTCTATTTATGAGGAAGTAAGTAAAAAGTTCAGATTAAAAAAAATTTTGGGGGGGGCGGCGCGCCTGGGTGGCTCAGTGGGTAAAGCGTCCGACTTCCACTCAGGTCATGATCTCGCGGTTCGTGAGTTTGAGCCCGGCGTCGGGCTCTGTGCTGACAGCTCAGAGCCTGGAACCTGCTTTGGATTCTGTGTCTCCCCCACTCTCTGCCCCTCCCTTGCTCATGCTCTGTCTGTCTCTGTCTCTCAATAATAAATAAATGTCAAAAAAATTTTTTTTAATTTTTTTAATGTTTATTTATTTTTGAGAGAGAGAGTGAGACAGAGTGCGAACTGAGGAGGGGTAGAGAGAGAGGGAGACACAGAGTCGGATGCAGGCTTCAGGCTCTGAGATCTCAGCACAAGGCCCTATGCGCGACTCGAACTCACAAACCGTGAGATCATGACCTGAGCCGAAGTCAGCCGCTTAACCGACTGAGCCACCCAGGGGCCCCCAAAGCTCAGACTTTAAAAAACTAAATATCAGTAGGATTTTTTTTTTTTTAACTCAAGCTAACATTAAGTAATGTTTAGACCTTTTCTGTGCTGTCTCTTGAGTTCTCCCCGAATTGTTAACAGATAACTGGAGGGTCTCATACACACCCCCTCTAGTCTTAGAAGGGGCAGGAGGGCGAGAAAGGGGGGGTCGCATGGAAGAAGGTGCTTAGGCGTTAACAGGCACAGGGGTGGGTGTGTGAGCAGAGGTGGGGCAGAGGTAGAGGGTGCCGGCTGAGGGACGGGGGGCAGGGTGGGACAGCCACTCTGGGCTTTTCAGGCACATAAACATCCTTTTTGCTCCCGTGTCTATCACTTGCAACCAGAAGAGCTCTTAGAATATTCCTCTCGGTTCTGCTTCGCTCTGCATCGAGTCCACTTTCCACTCTGTGCTTCTGAGTCTCAGGCTTAAGTCTCGAAGCTCCAAATGCAGCAGGAAGTCAGAGCCTCTCTCCCCGCCAAGGCCAGCACATGGCCTGAAACTGGGCTTCCTTAGGAAGGCTTGAGTCGGTTGCCCATTCCTAACGGGTTAAGAGCTTAGGAATTGCCAGGGTCATGTCCTTTTCCCTACACCTTTAGGGGCGAGGAGGACAGGTGGGGAGCTGACCCATGGGCCTTGAGGGCCTCACAAGGACCTGGACATCTGCTCGCATTGTGATGAGACCAGTTGTGAGATCGAGCCTGGCATCAGGCTCCATGCTGAGTATGGAGGCTGCTTGGGATTCTCTCTCTCCCTCTCTCTCTCTCTGCCCCATCCCCCACTCATGGTCTGTCTCTCTTTCTCTCCCCAAATAAATAAGTAAACATTAAAAAAAAAAAAAAAATGAGATGAGACCAGTGAAGGTGAAAGTCATCGGGACCAGCACTGGGTGTGGAAGCCAGGCATCCGGGCCCTCTACTTCCTGGAACACCCTCTTGGCACTTTGCATTATGTTGACCCGCCCAAAGTGTGATTCTGCAGGTTTTGCAAATGCGCATCTGCCAGGCCCAGTCTCTAGCCTCTGTAATCTCCCCATAGTGCTGTCCTCAGCCTTGGGACCAAGCCTAGATAAGCCTCCTGGGGCCTGCCCATCAGGCACCAGCAGAGAAGGCACAGTGTCACCTCCCCTGGGTCTCACTGGGCAATATGTAGGGCTTTCCTATGGTGGAGGGTGGGGGGAGGGCTTGGAAAACCCTGGAACACAACTCCTAATCCTCATTATAGCTACCAATTACTGAGGATTACCAAATGCCAGGTACTGTGCTAAGTTCTTCCACGGAAGCCTCACACATCCTGCTGAAGTATTAACAGCCCATTTTACAGACGAGGGAGGGGAAGCTCCACGAGGAAGCAGCTTGCTCAGTCACACGGCCAGGATGTGGCAGAGGGCAGCAGACTAGTCTCTCTGACTCCAGAGGCCATGCTCTCAAGTCACGGCCCCTCTGCTCCCAGGTCCCACTTCAAATGCATCTCTGGTCTCTTGTCAAACGTTTGTGACCTTTTTTGGGGCGCCTGGGTGGCTCGGTCGGTGAAGCATCCGACTTCGGCTCGGGTCACCATCTCGCCGTCCGTGAGTTCGAGCCCCGCGTCGGGCTCTGTGCCGACAGCTCGGAGCCTGGAGCCTGCTTCAGATTCTGTGTTTCCCTCTCTCTCTGCCCCTCCCCCACTCAAGCCCTGTCTCTCTCTGTCTCTCAAAAAATGAATAAGCGTTAAAAAAATTTTTTTAAAAACCCCATTTTTGACCTTTTTCATCAGATAGGATTATACAATAGGCAACGGAGAACAGTATCCATTTGGTTCCAAACGCTGCATTGTCAATCCATTAAAATGCTCCTATCCAAGTTAATGCTGGCAATATCAAAGCTACAATGGTTATTATTTAAAAGAACATAAAATAACAAGTATTGGTGAGGATGCAGAGAAACTGGAACGGTTGTGCACTCTTGGGATGTGTAATGGTGTGCTCACTACGGAAAACAATACAGCAGTCCTCAAAAAATTAAAAATCACATTGTTCTCTGTATTTTTATTTTTATTTTTTTTTAAGTTTATTTATGTATTTTGAGAGTGTGTGTGGAAGAGACAGACGAAGCATGAGCAGGGGAGGGGCAGAGAGAGGAAGAGACAGAATCCCAAGCAGGCTCACGCTGTCAGCGCAGAGCCCGACACGGGGCTCGAGCTCACGAATCCTGAGACGGTGGCCTGAGCTGAAACCAAGAGTCGGATGCTTAACCGACTGAGCCAGCCAGGCGCCCCGTGTACTTTTTAAATTTTTTAAAAGGTGAAGAAAGGAAAAAGTACACGCCACATGTTCTGATCACAGTGCAGTAAAAACGAAGAGTGGAAATGAAAAGGTATCTGAAATGGAAATCAGATTGTATGGATAATTAACATTTTTGACCTTCTAAATCGCTCAGATCAGGTGGGAATCAAAACCAAAAATTCGGAATACTTAGGAAAAAATGCAAAAATGAGACCACACCCGTTTAAACCTGTGGAATTTGGTCAAAATATCCTCGAAAGAACATATAAGGGCATTCATAATTTCTTCTAAAAAAAGATGCTTAAATGCAATGTGGGATCCTGGACCGGACCCTGGAACAGAGAGGACGTTAGTGAGGAATGTAGTGAAAGGGAATACAGTCTGTAGTTCATAATTTGGTACCAAAGTTAATTTTTTTTACTTTTAACAAATAGAAGATGTCATAATTAGGGGGAGGTAAATGGAGGGTCCGTGGAAACTTTCTGTAACATCTTGGCAATTTTTCTGCAAATCTAAAATTATTTCGGAATAAAAAGCTCAAAGAACAAGATGGCAGTTTATAGCTACACGGGCGTCAAGAGGAAAGGCATGGAGCATCTGCTTGGCAGCGAGGATCCTGGCGAAGCAGTGTGGACTTGAACCCTGAGCTGGCACACTGGCCTCCTGATCCCAGTCCTCTGGTCATGCCACTGGGAGCAGCCGCTTGGGGGCCAGTTCTACAGTGTTCTGGGAGATGCTGCTCGAAGCTCCACCCACAGCCGACCCCCTCCAACACTTCCACTCATTTTGTAAGCATTAACTCCCCCTAGTCAACCCTTTTCTGCTTAAATCAGCCACGGTAGTTTCTGCTATTCTCAGATGGCCCCTGACTGAAATGCAGATGGAAACACTGACTATATTCACCCCATAGAAAGAAGTGAAAAAGTTATCAAAAATCTACCTCCCCCTGCAGCAGAAAAGGTGCTAATGCTTGATAGTTTGTACAGGCAAATTACATCCAACTTACGAGAGAGAGAGAGAGAGAGAGAGAGAGAGAGAGAGAGAATTTAAACTATATCAGAGCAAAGAAAAATATGGGAAGATTCTTAATTTTATTCCAATGAACTACTTAGATTCCAAACTATATAAGAATAGAGAACATAGCTTAAAAATTAACAATGTTTTGGGGGCACCTGGGTGGCTCAGTCGGTTAAGCGTCCGACTTTGGCTCAGGTCATGATCTCACAGTTCGTGAGTTCGAGCCCCACGTCGGGCTCTGTGCTGACAGCTCAGAGCCTGGGGCCTGCTTCAGATTCTGTGTTTCCCTCTCTCTCCGCCCCTCCCCTGCTCATGCTCTGTCTCTCTCTCTCTCTCTCAAAAGTAAATAAACATTAAAAAATTTAAAAAGTTAACAATATTTATGTGTGTGTGTGGCTGATGCACAATCTAAACAAGCCTATTGGTTCTAGTAGAGTAGTAAAAGAATAAAAGACCTTGACAGACACACTTCGTGGTTAACAGCACAGATTCAGGAAAGACTATAAGGCTCAATTCCTAGTTTCACCTGCTTGATTTGGGCAAGCTACTTAACCCCCGTCTCACTTTTAATATGTGCAACAGGAATGATGATATACCTACCTCGTGGGGTTGTCAGGAGTTAAAATAAAGACATAAAATAAAGACATAAAGACAAAAAGTGCCGAGAACGATTCCAGAATTATATAGTCAAGGCTGTGTAGTAGTTGGCTTTTATTATTAATATCATCCCAGGATGCAATGTAGCAAATCGTATGGATAGATTTAAGGAGAAGAATCGCATAGTTTTATTGGTAGATGCCAAGAGTATCTGATTGAATTCAAATACCCTTCTCATAAAAGCTCCCTGAGATCTAGGAAAACAGTGACATTTATTGAATGCGATAAAGGATATGTATCAAATATTGACAATAACTACTTGTGGATAAAGAGGGTGATGTGAAGCCAGATCATAGATTCTCTTTTCCACCATTCATTTAAAAAAATTTTTTTTAACATTTATTCATTTTTTGAGAGACAGAGAGAGAGCACAAGCAGGGAAGGGGCAGAGAGGTGGGGAGACATGGAATCCGAAGCAGGATCCGGGCTCTGAGCTGTCATCATGGAGCCCGATGCGGGGCTTGAACTCATGAAACACAAGATCATGACCTGAGCCGAAGTCAGACACTCAACCGACTGAGCCACCCAGGCACCTGCTCCATCTTTCCCACCATTCATTAAGTGAATATTTATCAAGACCATAGGGGGACCCCTTGCTGACGATGCAGCAGTAAAGAGCTGGCTGGGTCCTGCTTTCCCAAGCTTACATTCTAAAGAAAAAAATCCAAGAGAATGATAAGCGCTATGCAAAACATTACAATGGG